ATGGGTTTTTTTCAGGGTTTTACCATAATAATGACTTCTAATGAAGCTGATTATGTCTCCCATAAGGAACATTAATAGATGAATGCATTGTTCTTAAGGTACATCTATTTATCGAATGAATTGTAATGAGCGCAGCATGGAGCTCCGTGGAGCACGGTGCTACACACACCACGTACCTGGGACACCTCTGTCTCCTCGCTGTGGGGCTGGGGGAGCTCAGATGATGGGGAGTGAACCGTGGTGACTGCAGGGGTTAGGGCAGAAAGCAAGCAGTGCACTGGTGCATGGCACCACGGGGTTAGTTTGGCTGTGCCCAGTGTTGGAGATGCTTCTTTCAAACAACACATTGATGTGTGTCACTACTGCAAGGTGCAAACCGAGACACCAAACAAGGCATAAGCAGCACAAAGGCAGCAGTGGTTATTGCTGTGTTACTCTACAGGTGAGAAGGGGCAGGTACAGCACTCCTATCTGCTCTTCTCCCCCCGTGCGTATTACCAGGTAACTTTTCTTTCAGCTCTCAGAGCGTGTAATCTTCTGCACAATGGCCTGTGCATGTTCAGACTCTAAATCCTTATGAAGTTGGACTAATTTTCCTGCTTCAATGTAGTGAGTATTAACAAAGTATTCTATCTAAATAGTGCTGTGAAATGCAAATTACTGCTTCCATAGTAGTTTGCTTATTACGAACTCATTAAAATGCGTAACCCAAAAACTCTACTCTCATTACGGAGCTCTGTGCTATATCGCTTCATACTATAAAGCAGCTGCGTGTTGGCTCTTTGATATTGGAAACCCTATTGTCATTAACCTCATTATGACAATACTTCTTTATACTGTTTGAAATGCGTGCCTTTCAAGAAGGATGCCGTGTAGATGATGATATTTTTGTTTTGCACAGTACAAAGTGAGGGGGAAAGGGGGCAGCAGGAGATGAGGGGACTTGGATTATTTATTAGCATCCCAGGAACGATGGTGGCTCTCTAAGTTTAGCCACCAGGAGATGTTTGTGCCTTTGACAGGGATTTCTCTTTCCAGCTGCAAAGCGTGGCTTATGGCCACTTTAACCTTAAAGCCTCCCATTGCTGCGGATGAGTATTTGGTTCCTGTAGGAGACCCAAGGGGGTCACAGGGATAGCTGGGGAGTTTCTGGGGGTGTTTGCCCAAATGGATCATCCTCCCCTCAACTCATTCATGCCTGCCAGGCTCTTTACCTGGAGAAACATCCCCTGAACTTATTGAATTGCTCTAACCAAGAAAGCTCTGGCTTTATTTTATTTTATTTTTTTAACTATTTTTGTACTTCTTTCCTGGCTTTATTATATTGACTTTGAGGCTGGAGGGGACGGCGTTGCAGGTGGTGTTCAATGGGCAGGCACACACTGCATCTACACGATCGTGATGTTTTCTGTTTTCATTTCAATTCCTTTCCTTGTAATCCTTAATACTCCATTTGCGATTGAGCACTGACTCGAATTCTTCACAGAATGACAATGATTCTTTTGTAAATGGTAATAGCTCAGAAACCTTGCTAATAATATAAAGCTAGGACTGTCTTTTCCCTGCTTCCTGTATAACTTACCATTTACTGCAGTTTTTATCACCCAGTAACTCCGATATTGTGCAATAACTGCTCTCAGTTTCACAGCTTGGAGGTCGCTGTAGGCAGGTCTGTCTGCAACTCCACTGGTGTCTGCTGCCCCCCCTCCAACTGGTGTTCTCCTGAGTGCTCCAAGCAGGCATAGGATGAGCTTGGCCCCTTCTGACACTTGCGAGGGCTTGCATTGGGTTTGTGTCCAGGCCAGTGTTAAGGGACACACACATGGTGGTGATGGAGCAATCCCAAGAGTTATGGTATTGGCACACCAGCAGAACAATCTGCTTTTCCCAAAACATGCTTTTTAGTGTTCTGTGCCTTGTTTGCTGTGAAGTTACCTTTTTGCACTCTATTTCAATATATTTCTCTGTCTGGCCCTACGTTTGGCAGAGCGGGGTGACCACAGCCCCATGGTGTCCCTGGTGGTCCGTCTTCCTTGCTATTGCTTCTCTCTTGGATGTTGTATTAACCACCAGCACCTGCTTTTCCAGGGATATGACATGGTACAGGTAGAGAAGGTCTCTGGTTGTGGTGTTTCTTCGGGAACATTTCTGGGTTTCTTCTTGGCCCTATGCAGTGTTGGAGTTGGTGGCATGAAGATCAGGGTATGTGGAGGAAAGAAGTCAGAGCGCATTTCTGGGAAGGTGTGCAGTGATGTCGGGTCCCTTCCATCCTGCCTTCCTTCCGCCTGCATTTCTCAGAAGCTAAACACCATGTGTGGAGCAATGGCTGGAGCAGCAGCTGGGATGGGATCACCTGGGATTCACCTGCCCTGGGATCCCACCGGGGTGGGGTGGCTGCAGCCGTGAGCTTTGCTGCAGCAGCAAGCTGAGCGCGTCCCCTCAGCCTGCCTGTGTTGCAGGGAGAGCTCGAACTGCAACTTTTGTAATGTTTCCTTTGCACTGCATAAGTAATGCTTAATCTGCATGTCTGATTGGGAATACCTTTTTTCATCTGAGTGCACTCCATTTTGGCTCGTGTATCTCTTGGGTGAATAACAAAGAGGATGCCAGTTGTCTGGAGGAGAAGCAGTTTTCTGAATCACAAAAGAACACACTTTATCAGAAAATCTAATAATGTGCAACACTTTTGTAAACTAAGCCCTGTGTGACCAGCTGGAACTTTGAAAATTTTACAAGAAGCCATGGGGACAATTAATCATAATAGAGCCAACTTTTATGCGGTTTTCTGAAATAGCAAGCAATTACATAATTATTACAA